TTATGGGGTGTCCCCCCTGTACTTATGGGGGTGTTGGGGTGTCCCCCTGTACTGTGGGGTGTCCCCCTGTGCTATGGGGTTTGTCCTGTGCTAAGGGGTGTCCCCCATGCTGATGGGGTGCCCTGTCCTCCCTGTGCTATTGGGTGTTGGGGTGTCCTCATGCTATGGGATGTCCCCCCCATCCCCCCTGTGCTATGGAGTGTTCCATGTGCTGTTGGAGTGTCCCCCATGCTAATGGGGTGTCCCCGGTGCTATAGGGTGTCCCCCGTGCTAATGGGGTGTCCCCTGTGCTATGGGGTGTCCTCCCTGTGTTCCCCTGTGCTATGGGGTGTCCCCTGTCCTGGTGGGGTGTCCCCATACTGATGGGGTGTCCCCTGTGCTATGGAGTGTCCCACGTGCTAATGGGGTGTCCCCTATGCTATGGGGTGTCCTCCCTGTGTCCCCCTTTGCTATTGGGGTGTCCCCATGCTGATGGGATGTCTCCTGTCCTATGGGGTATTGGGGTGTCCCCCCTGTCCTGTAGGGGTGTCCCCCTGTGCTATGGGATGTTCCCCCTGTGTCCCCCTGTGCTATGGGGTGTCCCCTGTCCTGGTGGGGTGCCCCCTGTGCTATGGAGTGTCCCCTGTGCTATGGGGTGTCCCCTGTGCTATGGAGTGTCCCCGGGCTGATGGAGTGTCCTGTCCCCCCTGTCTATGGGGTGTTGGGGTGTCCCCTGCCCTGATGGCGTGTCCACTGCTCTGATGGAGTGTCCCCACGCCAATGGTGTCCCCTGTCCTGTTGAGGTCCCCCCATGCCGATGGTGTCCCTGTCCCCCTGTGCTATGGGGTGTCTCCCCATGCTGATGGGGTGTTGGGGTGTCTGTGGGGTGTCCCCATGGTGACGGTGTCCCTGTCCCCAGGCCAGCTCCCCGGCCTTCAGGCAGTACTGCCAGCAGGTGCTGAGGAACGCCAAGGCCATGGCACAGGCACTGCTGCAGAGAGGCTACACCCTGGTGTCAGGTGAGTCTGTCTGTCTGTCTGTCNGTGTCCCTGGTGGGTGTCACAGGTGGGTGTCCCCCACCTCATCAACTACACTCACATCAGGAGGGTGAGGAGGGGTCCTGGGGGACTCTGGGGACAGCAGGTGACCCCAATGGGTGACCCCACTGGGTATCCCTGTTCAGTGTCCCCAGGTGGATGTCACAGGTGGGTGTACCAGGTGGGGACCCCAGTGGGTGTCCCCTGCCTCATCGACTACACCTGCATCAGGAGGGTGAGGAGGGGTCCTGGGGGTCTCTGGGGACAGCAGGTGACCCCCGTGGGTGTCTCCCCCAGGTGTGTGACGAGGTCAAGGCCTACCTGCTGGCAGACATGGCCCACATCAGCGGGCTGGTGGCCGCCAAGGTGATCCCGTCCCCCTTCGAGCACGCGGACGTCGTCACCAGCACCACGCACAAGACACTGAGGGGGGCCAGGTGGGACCCCCATGGGGGGCTGGGACCCTGTGAGCCCCTTGGGGGGGCTGGGAATCAGGGAGATCCTTGGGGGGCTGGGAATGAGGGATTCAGGGAGCCCCTTTGGAGCTGGGAATGAGGGACCACCATGGGGGGCTGGGACTGAAGGAGCCATTTGGGGGGCTGGGAATGAGAGACCCCTTTGTGGGGCTGTGAGCCCCTTGGGGAGCTGGGAATGAGGGATTCAGGGACCCCCTTGGGAGGTTGGGACTGAAGGAGCTTCTTGTGGGGCTGGGACCCAGGGAGCCCCAGGTGCACCCCAAGGGGATCTCAAGGTGCCCCAGGGTGGGACCCTGTGAGCTCCTTGTGGGGCTGGGACTGAAGGAGCCATTTGAGGGGCTGGGATTGGGGGATTCAGAGAGCCCCTTGGGGGGCTGAGACCCCAAAGAGCCCCAGGGAGCTCCAGGTGCACCCCAAGGGGACCCCAAGGTGCTCCAGGCTGGGACCCTGTGAGCCCCTTGTGGGGCTGGGAATGAGGGACCCCCTTGGGAGTGGGGAATGAGGGAGCCCTTTGGGGGGTTGAGACTCTGGGAGCTTTTTGGGGGTCTGGGACCCTGTGAGCCCCTTGAAGGGTTGGGACCCCAGGAGCTTCTTGAGGGGTTGGGAATGAAGGAGCCCCTTGGGGATCTGGGACCCCAAGGGGACCCCAAAGTACCTCAGGCTGGGACCCTGTGAGCCCCTTGTGGGGCTGGGAATGAGGGACCCCGTTGGGGGGCTGGGAATGAAAGAGCCCCAGTGAGGGGCTGGGAATGAGGGACCCTCTTTTGGGGACTGGGAATGAGGGACCTTCTTGGGGG